TTGTACCGGTGATTGTTATACAACTGGTCGTTAGTGGCTGTTTGTACAGGTGATTGTTATACAACTGGTCGTTAGTGGCTGTTTGTACCGGTGATTGTCTTATACAACTGGTCGTTAGTGGCTGTTTGTACCGGTGATTGTTATACAACTGGTCGTTAGTGGCTGTTTGTACCGGTGATTGTTATACAACTGGTCGTTAGTGGCTGTTTGTACAGGTGATTGTTATACAACTGGTCGTTAGTGCAGGCTCCACAGTAATACAAATACGACCCGTTGATCAACAGGTAGGCTAGGCCTGTACAAGGCAAGAGCTAATAAAATTTGAGCCGTTTACGCCATCAAGAGAGACAAATCTGTATAGTTTTTTAAGTTCCCAGAAAATTCTAATGGTTGTCTCCCCTGAAGCCTGTGCAGCCGACCACTTTTTTTCTTTCTTTTAGATACCGTCTTCTCCCAATAGTCTTAGCCAAACTTTCGTGTTATGAACTGGAAGAAAAATCATCAAAACATTGAAATAATTAAAAGTTGAAGTTGTTGTTGTTGTTTTTAATGGTCTATTATAATGATCAAGGTCAGCTCTTGTGTTTCCATTTTTGGAAAGTCGAGGTCGAACTTCCTAAACCAAGATGGCGGCCAAGTTTGCTGTCTGAATGCAAATGCCTGTGGACACTCGATTTGGACTTAATTGTGGAACCATTGTGGTTTCCACAGTGTGTCCCGGGTGCAAAGGCAAAATGGAAACATTTTTTCATCATGGATGAGGTTTTGTTTATTTTCACACGGTTTTTAATTCGTTTGTTACCTGTGAAAGTTGTAAAACTTCGTTTTATTTATTATCTTTTTCCTGGAGTTTACAAGTGCTCCGAACTTTTTTTTTCTCCAAAAGTTGATTATTTACCTTTTCTCTGTGCAATCTAAACAGACTTGTGTGGACTGGTTTGTTGAGGAAAATATTTTTTGCAAAAATTTACCCATTTGAAAAAGAAAAACAAGTGGTTTCCATGACAAACAGGCTTGATAAGCTGGTATTGACAGCATTTCGTGTGGTCTCCAGACAGTCTCAGAAGTCAGACTGTGTTATCATTAGATATTGACTTGGTGCTTTCTTGATCTAGAATCTAGGCTCCTTATTTTGTAGTGTGTAAGCTAAGGGTTTAAAATAAGATTTGAAGATTGTTCCAGCTAATCAACGACGTTGTTTATGTTTTGGTGTGGATTCTCAGGCAGGATCACGTTTTGATCTGTCAGAGGTAAAAGTGGTTGGTGTGTCGTTAGAAATTGTCTCAGACTCAGAGTGACAGAATCTGGCTCCAGAAAGATTCTCTCTCTTAATTTGGAAGGTCCAAAACTATTGTCTTGTATTTTGTTGTTGAAGTGGATACACATATCGAACTAATCCTATGGTTTTAAAAGTTCAATTTAAGGTAATAAGTTGATGGTTTTCACCCCACCCTCTTTCGTTTAGTTTCACCTTCTAAAGTCTGTACAGAGAGGCCTACTCTCACTAACAGACGTAGACACTTTTTTTTGAGAAAGCTGTTCAAAGTTACAAACTCCTTTGTCAAAGTTTGACAGATCCTTATCAATGGATGGATCTAGATCTAGATCTAGATCTAGATATAGAAATAATTTTAAAATTATTGGAAATCAGGTAAAATTTTTAGAAAAAAGATAGATCTAGAGATCATGACGAGGACAAACTTTCCCAGTCTAATAGATCTAGAATCTAGATCTAGATTCTAGATCTATTGTGTAGCAGAGTCTATAGAGGAAACAGAAAGTTGGAAAAAGACGAAGCTTGCATTGTAAAAGAAGAATTAACAGGCTGTCCCCATCGTTTTATAACATGCAAGAAAAATTATGAAATTTTATGCAAACTGAGCACAAAAATGTGAAATTATGCGATTCCGTTAACTTTAACAAAGAATGATAAAGGAAAATAATCAGAAATTATGCAAAAAATGATCGAATTTTGCTAAATTATGCGGGGTGCATGATAAAACCACACGGGGAGCAGTCACAATTGGCGATCATGTATGATAGAGATGAGATGAGATAGAAATGGAATGTCTCTGTGTCTGTATGTGAGGGTTGGTGGTACACACAGCAACATTTATAATAAACAGTTTTTATGGTTGTGGTGAAAAATTGGGTTTTTTTTAACAATCCATTCATGCAGTTTTTATATCAAAATAATAGAGGGTGTGTTCAGGTCTCTAAGGAAAACTGGCAGAGAAATTTCAGACTGTGGCTGAAATGATTCTAGATTCTATCCTGTTTGAAGCGTATTTCCGAACAAGAAAGGACAGGAAAATCTTTAGTTTTGGATCTGAACACATTAAATTATTTTTTCTGTTAAATTAAACTGCACACATCCTGGCCCCTTTTCAAATGAAAAAAGTTTTCAGCTTCAGGACCCCCC